TCCGGTTAAGCAACTAACTTTCATTTTGATTTAGTAAGCTTCGTAGTTTCGGTCGTCCATAGATTTATACTTTTTGCAATTGTAGCCTTTTGATTCATTGAATCTACCCTGTTTCTGTTGCCTTCTCTTTTCTTTTCATGAAATTCATGTATTTCACTCGAATTGCTCAGTTTTGTGTTGCATCCATGCATCATATCTTGTTGTTATTTACTGTTATGAAGCAAGTTATCCCCCTTCAACAAATCTAGCAACTGCAAGAGTTCTCATAAAAAGGCACGCTTGAATGTTGCTTACTTTTTTGCTTCATTAGAATTAAAGAAATCGTACTGTTTCTCCGTTCTGCTGAGCCATAGCCTTATTCTCATCACGATGGCATCGTTTCGCTACTTAAAAGTCATTTATTGTAGATTCTCTCCATAATTCAGCGGCATCATATGCCTCTGGACGATAGAATTTCTAAATTACAAGCTTTTGTTTTTGTAACTCTCCTTGATCTTTAAACGGATGTTGCATTGAGATTTTGAATGTACGAAAGGAATTGTCATTTGAATTTTCAGAATGGCCGATGCTGGTTTTTTTCGAGGAACAAGTTCAGATCAAGATGGCAGATTTTCAGACAAAGAGAAAAAATTGCTCAAGCAAATGAAATTCGAAGACACATTAGAACGGAAGGTACTACTGTTTTGCTCGTTAAAGGGGCAAGGCTTTCTATTTTTACGTTGAGCTAGGGTGACTAAACACAATTAGGTGACTTAGAACCTTCTCAACTGATTGTTTGAAGGATTTTCGGCATGGTTTTTTCTAAGATCAATATGGATAAAATCAACTTGGACGTCATAAAACCGTGGATTACGATGCGCATCAATGAAATCCTTGGAATAGAAGACGACGTCGTGATCGAATATATTATGAGCCAATTGGAGGAGAAAAATATAAATCCTAAAATTATGCAGGTTGATTGCATTTTACAACGCATAATTTTGATTTTTTCCCCAATCAGTGGTGTTTGATTACATCTCGAAGTTGTTGATTTATAAACCTTTCAGATAAATATTACTGGATTCTTAAATGCAAGGCGTGCTCGCGAGTTTATGGGTGAGTTGTGGATGTTGCTGATTGAAGCCGACGAATCTGAAGATGGAATTCCACGCAGTCTTATTGAGAAAAAAATCAATGAAATGCGAAAAGAACCACGTCCAGCGGGCAATGGAGAAGCTAAAATTGAACACACACCTCAGTCGGATGACTGGGCAAAGAGGTAACAGTTTCTTTTTGTAGAACTTTATTTATATTTATGGAGAGCTTGATCATGATCAAAAAGGAGCATAATGTCCTCGGACATCTAGCACTTCAGTCAAATTGTGTTCGCTCAAAGCTTATATTTGCTTCCTTACCAAGGCTGTTATTTCCAAAGTAGTTAAAACTGGGACATTATGTGAACTATATTTGACAAACCTGGTTACAACTCTGCATGGTAGTTTAGTTGGATTGTTTTTGAGACATCCTTCAGAAATTTGCGTTCTTTTACGTTATCGAATATTCGAACTTATTCATAATGCCAAGAAAAAGTGAAATAGTAGACAACTCGTCCTCAATATTCTCCTCTTCGGGCTCTGCATTTAGTTGCCTTTTTAAGGACTGCTTTTAAAACCTTTNGTTGTTCTAGTATGGAAGCAAATCTCTACTTAGTTTGCCAAATTAGTTTTTTTTTTCTCGTGTAATTTGTTTTGAAAACTTTGGGTGGATGACAATCCGATGGTGCAATATACAGTGAATATGAAGGATAGAGCACTACCGAGCGATCAATTTGTTGTGGTCTCTTTCTAAGGAAATGAACCGAGCTGTCTTGAGAGTGAGTTTAGGAATTGGTGTTGGATCGAATGGTCGGATCCAAGTTACTATGCGTATACTTTATCCTCTAATTAAGATTCGCACAATATCTTCCTTAAAGTTATCGGGCCTTTCAGTGAAAGGCATATTTTTCTGGAGGAAAGCCGTACGATGATTTTTGAAGCATTATAATTAGTTAGCACCTGGAGTGCATCCCTCCATACACTTCGCATATCTTATCTTATCCCGCTTCCGCGGTACTTTTTTTATGCGCAAGTGATAATGGTCTGTTCGGGGCGGAACTCGCCCAATTCTGGATACGAAGGCGAACTGCGCGGCGAGACTCGTGGTAATTTGAAAGACTCTGCCGCCTGTCATTGGGGCACAAATTTGAAGAGGTTAGAAGAGTAGCAACAGCTGGTCCTACTTAACCTAGTCACTTAAAACCTGTGCCTCAATGACAGGCGCCAGATACGTTTGAATTACTACGAATTTCGCCGCGTCTATCTGGAATTGGTTGAATGTACCCTTGCCCCGTCTGTTTTGCTTCTATAGCGTGAAGCGGTTGCTTTGGTTCTAATTGCGACCTCGCTTGATTCGGTAAAAGTAAAGCGGATCAGAAGGAAGGTTTTCTTTGTTTTAAGTTTTACTGCCCATAGAAAACGCGATTTGCTTTGACATCAGCTCACACAAGTGGTGTAAGACAGGGCCACGTGAGGGAGAAGGTCCTGTAAACTGGTACATATTTCACATTGACACGTGTTCCTCTTTGTAGCAGCTCCTGACTGTGTTGCAGCAAGTTTTTATGGTCAAAATATTAAAGCCTAATTATGACGCAATCCAGTACTCATGCTTTGAGCGCCTTACATATCCATTATATTGTTGTGATCCCTCTAACTTTAGCCAGGGGTTTCGCCATCTTGCAAGTGTGAAAAGCGTTGAAAATGAACTATGAAAATCTGAGGAACAGTCTTATGTCTCAGTAGTATGATGCAGAGCATGGCGCCTAGCTTAAATATGGCTCTCGAAGGTTTTTTCACATTTTGCTGCAAACTAATCAGATACCAGTGCTTCCTGTAACGTGTTGGCTGTGCAGAACCGATCCATATAAGTGTACCTTTTTGTTTCAGGTACAGTTCGCTGTCGGGTGGACGCTATACCGGTCCAACGAAGGAGAAGGAAATTTCTGATGACCGAATAACAAGAATCAGTCCTCGTGGTGGAACACCACCCCGTCAACGAAGAAAGAGTGGTTCACGAGAAGGCACGCCTCCAAGAAGGGTAAGCTTGTGGATGAATCTAATTTCTATCATGAGATTTCAATGGAACTATTATTTTGGTTGCTCGTTTGCAACTCCAAATCCATAGGAATGTCTTACCAAAGTAATTAAATAGAAAGTTGTTGTCATTCCCATTAGAGAGTTATGTTGGCGGCTACATCCTAATATCAAAACAGTCATCTTTCGAGTAATTTGGACTACTGCTTTTGAAATCAACTAGTAAAAGTATGATAGCTGGTAAGTACTCTTTTTTGAAACCTTCAACTCCAATTTCATCCTAATGGATACAACAAGGGTGGGAAGGTTCAAACTGGAAGTAGAGGCCATTGTAGTTGTGGCAAGAAACTTATTGAGTACATTGATATCAAGAAACGTTTTATAGAGGTGCCCGGGTGTTCGCATCCTTCGAAGTAGGTCGCTATCTTTTGGTGCTCTCAATGGATAGACTTTTTTATCGTTAAAACAACTTGTACAGAAAACCCAAGAAGATCGCGATAAGGAGCGAGAAAAGGAACGAGAACAACGCCGGCAGCAACGTATTGAAGACGAGAAGAAGAGAGAAGAAGAATCCAAAAGAAGGGAAGAAGAAAGGTTGAAAAGAAGAGCTGAGGAAAGGGAAAGGGAGAAGCGGAAAGAGGAAGAACGTGCCAGAGACAGGTGAATTGATCATAAGTTCACCGTTTTTGCAAGATCAAATAGACTTTTTGGTAGTGCACTTAATGTGTCTCCTTTATTCTGCTTGTATACAGTTGCTTGTTTAGTTTCTTATTTATTTTTTTTTTTGTAGAGAAAGGGAACGTCGTCGTGCCGAGGAAGAAAGGCGGGAACGTGAGAGACGCAGGAGGAGGAGTAGATCGCGGTCAAGATCCCCGGCCAAAAGACGTTTTACAGAAGGAACGTCTTCAAGCAGCAAACGTAGACGAAGCCCAAGCAGTTCTGATTCCGAAGATAACTCAAGGTTAGATAAAAAAATTCTTTTTTGTCTGGATTTTCCTTCTTTCTAAGCGACAGCTTTTTGCCTCTGTAAGCGACAGTTTTTCGCTTTTTCATTGGTTCTCTGTGTCAATTTGCGTCGATGCCACTATTTTTCGCTATGTTTAGGAAGAAAAGAAAGAAGAAGCACTCACGTCGATCTAGTGATGATGATTCCGATTATGAGAGAAAGACCAGAAAGGAGAAGAAGTCAAAGAAGCACAAGAAGGTGAGCGGCGTTTTTTCTTAGATGTACTTCGTTTGTTTATGGAAATCGTTCCTGATATTGACTCGATCTTCTTCTTCGAGCGTTTGTATTGTCAATATTGTGTATATGTGAAATTATATGTAAAATAAACTTAATAAAGTAATAAAATTATATGTGAAATCAATATTTCTCCCTTTCTTTGTGGGTAGTCCTAGGAATTGTCATTAAAATTCAACGTTGGCCAACGAGGCGACAACGTGCGCTGACAACTCAGTGCTAGTTTTACTTCTCTCAACCTTGATAGCTCAACCTTTTGCTCAAGAATGATTAATTTTCAATTTTGTAAATTGAAACCGCAATGCCCTCGCTTTCCATTCAGTCTTGATGGTTCTTTTATTTGGTTTCCACGATAACATTGTCGTTTCATTATATTATTGCTAAAATACCATTATAATTCATTAGAGCACTATTCTGGGCTATTCCAAGTTTCCAGCTATTCTTTAAGTGGGGAACTTTCAATTCCCCCGCTGTTTTTTTCAATCTCATCTTTTTTTTNTTTTTTTTCTTGTGTACAAATGGAAACTGTGTAAGTACCAAAGAACGCAGTTGTTGTTTGAAACCTTCCCCAGAATATGTCTGCATACGCAAAGATTATGGTTTTTTCTTGCAGGAAAAGAAGAAGAAAGAAAGGAAAAGGTCTCCAACGCCCAGCAGCAGTTCTTTGAGTGACACCGAGTAGATTATGTATTTTGCTTTTTTCATGTTAATTTATGGTTCCTCTGTTTACTTTTGTTTATGGAGGTTATACTCTACATTTTTTATAGAATGATGTATTGGAAGAATGTTGACTTCCATTTATGATGTAATCATTTCCTGCAATCTGCAGACCCATGTGGCTGGTTCGTGTTTCATTGATGGCATCTCATGTGTTTAGGACAGACTAATGTGTGCCCTTGTTGAAGTTTGGCGTTGCTGTTAATATTTCTTGTCCATCGAATAAACAATACCTCTCTTGATTAGCAGAAATTTTTGAGATATGGTCAAAGCCACTATTATTTAGCGGTTAACTTACCCACTCAGTACTTGATTTAGAGTAGTTTAGCCTTACTTCCTTCAAGTGCTTTGTTGAATGTTTCAGAGGTCTGACCTCTCGTGTTATATGGGTGATGTGCAACAGCAGTCTGGTGCAACCGGTGCTCACCTAGGAGGAGCTGCTAGTGTTACAGCTGCTGCTCTACAATCTGCTGCTCGTGTGGCCAATAAGGTGGACTCCAACACGGTGACCCCAAACGTGGTCAAAGGAAGTGGGTACCTTTTGTCAAAACTGTCTGTTATCATTTAATCTCTTGTGAGTTCCCTAAACTAAGAACAGCATCTCTGGTGCTGTTCTTGCCAGCAACATACTCACGAAGTTCTGATTGAAGGTGGGCATGAAAAAGAGTTCGTGTGGAAAATTAGTACTCTTTTAGGTTCTATTAGAAGACAAGACTTAGAAGGTACGATATTTGGTCTGCAAAAGCATAAGGAGTTCAATAGTTGGTTATAGTTGACCTTCACAAGGCCTTTGAATTGACTTTGAGTCGGGTTTCTCTTGGCTGCATCCTGAAGCTAAATTGGAAGGATTTCTTTATTTTAAAAAATGTTCAAGGTGTGTGGTAACATCGTGAGCGGTGGACATCCAGGGTGTTGTAATGTAATTGTGAACAACCACATAAATTTTTCACAATTAGCTACTTAGGCTGTCACCAGAATTCTTTTTATTTCATGTTTATCACCACCTCAAGGTAAATATGATCCAGTGAGAGCAATGCTCATCGCATGTTCTTACGTAGTAGTTATCTTTATTTCCAGTTCTTGGAGCTGCATCACTCGGATCTCTCATTGTTGGTCTCCGAAGTGCCTGGAAACATACTCGGCAACCTGAAGCTGCTGATCTGTGCAGGGCGCAGGTAATAACATTAGCTTTTTTCACTCCACATGCCTCACTTTCTCATTGCGACTCATTTCAAAGTCATGCATTTATTAATTGACTGTGATAGAGAAAACTTCTGGTTAATCTCAATTTCTAATTAATCGGCTCGTTATACCTGTCAATTTGTGTTTCTTGTGCAATGAACGCTGTGAAGGTTATTTCGATGTGGTGAAAGTTTTTTGTATTGAGGGAGGCTTAGTAGGAAACCAGTTCCGCTGGTTCGAACTCGCTTTCCATTCGATCATTTCAATATTTCACAGTCACTTTTCAGGTACTTTCTGGAGTAGGATTTGCCGGCAAAGCGTTGGGTGTTGCTACTGTTATAACAGGTATTGAATCTTGTCATAGAAATGAATTTTCCTCGTTTCACGAAAGTTAGTGTCATATTGAATGAGCAAAACTTCTTTGTTTTCGAAAACGAAAATGTGATCAACGTTATTGTGCTTCTGTCTTCTGAAAAATACAGCGGCAAAGGAGATGATGAGGCAGCGGTGGAGCATCGTTCATCATTGACATTTAGGCTCACCATAATGACGTTATAGGGTGCATCGATCGTTTCCCGTTACCCTTTATTGCATAGTCGATCCATTCCTAGACTTTAATAGAAGTATTTCTCCTTATTGATAGTATTGATCGGTTTCCTATAGCAAAATTTTGGAAATAAAATTGAGTCAAGCCCACCCTCAGCGGTTTCCCCTTTTTTCTCTGGTAAACCTGCATTCACGACCGCTCATACTGACTATTCGACGGAAATAGCTAAGCTGGAAAGTTTGTAGTCAGTTCACATACTGAAATGAGCAAGGCAAAACAGGAACAATATGATTTTTCGACGAGTCTCCTGAACTGGGGACATATTGGTCGTGGTGTAATCATTAGGCAGATAGCATAAACAACCGAAAGTGGAGGGATAGAAGGCTCAGTTGGCCTAGGCGGATATCGATCCGGGATTATATCTCTAAACGATGTGTGTGATAGTGCGCTGCTTGCCACTACGCCACCTACGCCATCCATTCGATTACATCTTTCCCAAATTTGATTGGTCTGCATCTAAAACAATGAGAATTGTTATGTTCCAGCTGCCCACGCACTAAGCGAATCGTAATAGGATAATATAAGTAAAAAAAATGAATAAACGTGCTGAAAGTCGAATCTATGGAGAGTCAGCCTAACAGCTTGTTTTTATACCCATCGCTGGAAATATTAGCTAACAATAGGTCTTACTCAGCCTTGCGTGGGCATTGCAACATCACCACCAGTTTTCGCCATTCTCGAGCTATAAACTTTGTCGCTTAAAGTTGTGAACTGAGTAATCGCTGCAGTCCTTCCTTCCGAAATAGCAATAAACATAAACATATTGAGTTTCACCTAAGTTGATAGATAGGTTTCGACTTCCTTCCTATACAAAATCTTACCCACCACGCATGTGCTTTACCAGTTTCTTATTTTGATTGCACTTTTCATCATAAGGAAGTTAGGGTATGCGTACTTTCGGTCAAATTTTCATCTTATGCTGCTAATTTCTTTCTTCTATCTCAGCATGTACGTTGTTTTTTCAGGATATCACTATTTAATTACGCTAATTTTTTTCAATTCTTCTCCGCCCATCTCATTTCTGTCTCGCTAGATTTACTCGAGGCCAGTTTTATTGTCGTTCTCTTTTCCATTTTTGCCCACCGTTATTCCACAAGCATTTACTTTGTTTCTATGCTCTGACCGCAGGGCTAATTTTTCCGAATTCTGAGTATTTGAAACGAAGGCTAATTTTTCCGAATTCTGAGTATTTAAAACGAAAAGTTGAAGTCGAAGATTTGCTTGGGTATTTCAAAGAAGGCGTTTGAGGAGAAAAATTTTTACCAAACGAGTGCAGTGTAGTGTAATGAATTCTTTTGATGAGCTCTGTCACTTTCAGCGAATTCTTTATTGTCCTGCTTGTTATCCGAAGTGTAAAACTAGATTCATATCGAAACTGTCAGGCAACTAGCCTCGTAAAAAGAGCGTAGCCAGCTGACGCGTGATGTCAGCAAGCTGAATTTCTTCGAGCTTCAATTTAGCTCGTCTCATATTTCATATATAACATCTGCCATAGATTATTGAGCATAACTTTTTCGAGAAAATCTACCTCGATCCTGCACGGGATGGAGATTTTAAGTTGTTCGGGAAGACGAACTTTTTTTGGAAATTGCTGCATCAGTGGTCCAGAGTCAATTCAACAAATGAAGTGACTTGAAGTCAACATCTGGCACGTACATACGTCCGAGCTTTTCCAGTTTGATACTTTCAATCATCACAAAATTATTATCAAGCCAAGTTGCAGTTGATTCATGGAATAAGTAGATTATTTGGCCAAGCATAGTTTTTTTTTNTTTTTTTTTCAGTTTCGGGTTTTTCTTTATTCATCATTGCTGTGTCGTGGGCCCTCAAGGTTAATACTCCGCGCCAATTTGGCAGCGCCATGCGCGAAGCCTTTGGAGATTCACTACGACTTCCACAGAGCCACAATTCTCAAACATTCGAAGAATTAATACAAAGCCTTGAGCCTAAAGAGCAACCGTAAGTCAATAAAGCGTGTTTAAGACAACTTTATAGCAGTAGCACATAAATAAACAATCTCTTTATTGCAGCGCTGTTTCGGTCAAAGAAAACATTGATCGTCATTGATTACGAAGAAACTTCCTTTTCAATTCATAGGCATCAACGGAACTCATATCAGAATTTTTCAAACATTTCAAATTACTTCGAGGGAGCTTTTTATTTTTGGGTGAGTCATGAATAATCCTGTTGGCGTATCTATCATTTACTGAATGCATCGATTGACTTGTGTTAGTTTGACGAAGTAGATTATGAAACGCTTGTACGCTTCACTTTATTTCAGCCATGCTTCCACTATTTATTCTACTTGTTCTTCTTTTTCTCGTCGTTCTTTTGTTATTCTCACTCCGCAGCAATAGGCCGCTGCCTTTGCCACCGTTTTCTAAGGTGCTTTTCGAATTTTTCTGCTTGAAACGCATAAAACGTTCCGTATAGGCGAGAACTCAACCTTCTCAGGTTTTACTCGTCATAGCTCATCCCGACGATGAGACGATGTTTTTTGCACCGGTACTACGAGCGCTCTCTGCTGCCGGGCATCGTGTTTTTATTCTATGCGTATCCAATGGGAATTTTGAGGGTCTGGTCAGTTTTAGCTGCAACTTTTAAATTTTCCGATGCGATATTCCTTTTCGTTTGCGGTCTCCCTTAATATACGCATTTCAGGGGAAAATTCGTAGTCGGGAGCTGCAAGAAGCTGTACAATTTCTCGGCGTAACATCTTCAGATGTCACTGTGCTCGACTACGATGCTTTTCCAGATGGGGGACAATGGGATCGCCAAGCCTTGAGCAATGTTTTGCTGAGATATATTGAGGTAATAGCGCAGTCTTATCAATGGTTGCCTTTTTATCTCAATACATGTTTAGTCCCACAACTGAATTGGGCTCCATTTTCAGTCAAAGACCAAGGGGGTCGAGTTTTATCGGCGAATCAGATCACTATTGATGGGCAATTAGTACTTTTGGGCCAAAAATTGAGCGTTATTGAGTTGACTCGAAGTTGTCCGGCACGAATTCGATAAGGCCTTTTTCTGTTTTGCAGGGCGCATTATCCAAAATTACAATCAAATACGATGGCTTCGCTATGCCCTACAAAAGCATATGTTCGTAGATCATTTTCTTTCGTTGTTGTTTACCCTTCTCCAAGTAATTTCAACGATTTTTTTTTCATATCGCTTCCATTTTGTATTTGCTGCCTGCTCATCGTTAATGTTCACTAGCTGATTTGAAATCTGTTGAAATAGTGGCGCGGCTTGTCGGTATGTGCCATGGTTGGCTGTCGGCCCATAGAAGCTTTATTGGCTTTGGATCAAATTAAGCGTTCCGATTGCTCAGCTGCCTGCAAAAAGGCAGCAAGGGCTGAATGGAACGACCCTCTACGTAGCTGTGGTCACGTGTGTTATACCATCGTATGATTTCCAAAATCTTCAAAAAAGGTCTGTGAGCAATAAATTACCTTAAGTTAGCTCGTGAGCTAGTTTTGCAAATAGAGATGGATAAGTGAGCAAGCGCTTGGTAATGCAGTGTATCTACCGACTTATTTGTGAATTATTTGTCCCTCGTTGTAATTTTCAGCTTCAAAGCGGAGAACTGATGTTGAACTTATCTTTATGGTCTCCAAAGTTTTCGCAATAGTATAGAAACCGAGCGCTTACTTTGGCTTTCTCCGGGACAGTAGTGGAATTCGGCAATATCAAACTCGTCCTTCATTCATGGCGAACCTCTCATAACTAATTTACCTACTCTCTCAGAAATCAAGTTTACTGGCATCAAAAATCAGAAGTCAAGATTGATTGCCAAGCTCGTCGGAGGGCACTGCCATTGTCTGTCCATTTGTCTGCCATGCATGCTGTTATGGCCTCTCATCATAGAGAAAATGACTGCATTAAAATTTAAGGTGTTGTCTGTTGATTGTGTATTGTCATTCGATGGTGGCGGCGTCTCAGGACATGGAAATCATTCATCGTGTTCTGAAGCGTTGCAAGATGCATATACGCGAGGTGTTATTCCAGAAGATGTGCAAATTTTTGTGCTTGATTCGGTTGCACTATTGAGGAAGTAGGTCTTTGGCTTAATATTCAGATTGTCTTCACTGGAGCTTATAAGAAAGCTTATAAGAATGCTTCTGTTAATTCAGATATATGGGAATGTTTGATGCTCCACTATCGGTGGCTCGTTCACCATTTCAATATTTTGCAAGAGGTCGCGATGTGGCAGCAACTTGGCGTGCTATGAGGCGGCATCGTTCACAGTTTGTATGGTTCCGTTTCCTGTACATGATCTTCAGTAGGTAAGGTGACAGTTTTGTCAAAAGAAATTTTCTGGTTTTAATTTTTTATTCCCTGAAGTTATTGCCTTACGTGCCTGTGTGCTTGCGATTTATCAACTTTTACTCCAATTGCTGGGAACACATTATCATAGCGATGGCTTAGATCCGTCGATAAGTGTCTACGTAGTTAACATGGACCAGAGATTAGTTTTATTCAAAGCGGCATCTGAGGTGAGAATTATTCAAGAATAATTTCTGCTCTATTCGTGGCATCTCAACGCTGCCGTGTCTTTTGCTTTTTGCTGTTAGCTTTCTGACTCACACTCATGTTCATGTGAACGTTTCTTCAGAATTTACCATTATAGCGCATCTGTTTTCTTGGTATAAAATTCTCTTATCTGTAGCCAAGGCCCGGCTTTTGATTTATAGGTTGTTTTTTGCATTGTATTAGACCTTATTGCAACAACCGCTTAAGTGATAACAACCACATAATCAATAACGGAATAAGAAAAACCACGTACTTTATGAATATACGGGTCGTTAAGTCAATTGCTGGCCTTTGAGAAAAAATACTTATGGACGACACTTTTACTTTTTGCTTTTGGCTAGTTGAATTATAAGATAGCTGTTGGTGAAAAGATTAATTTCTATAGGTGTTATTGTGAACACCATTTACAAGAGTTGCACCAAGCATTGCAGTGAATAGCGAACAGTGATTTTGCCCAGAATTTGTATTTGGTAAAGATCGGGATCATAGCGTTGGTTTAGCACGGGTGGCTGTTGGAATCCTTCAGAGATTTGCACTGAATCAGGGCGGAACTCTTGCGTAGCGGTGACGCAGGTTTAGCTAGATTACAATTGCTTGGTTTGGGAAATTTAGGGTTTGGTTATTTTTATTTTACCCATTATGTGTATCTCTTTCTTTTTCCTGAAGATTTTGAATGATTTGGTAAATCTGCATTTCCAGGTATGTTTACATCAACACCTTCCGACGTATTGCTCCAATCAACAAGGTTCCTGTTGCGAAACGCAAAAGCAAAGCAACTTAATGAAAGCAGATATGCAGGTTGATATCTTGTTTTACTGTTAACTGCTACCACGATTCAGTCTTTGAGGGTGACTACTGCTCATAGCCATAGTCTTTGTATGATGTGAGGTATATGGTGATATACTTCCTAGACTTGTTGTAGATGTTTATATTTTGTTATGAAATAAATAGGTAACTAAGAGTTCAATAAACTTCGATGTTATTTGTTGTTTACTACTTCTTTAGATGTAAGATGTATGAATATTTGAATTGAACCTCTCTCATCTTATAGCTCCCTTTAAAAGATTACGGAAGATCACAGCTTTGCATCGTTTAGCAGTATTTGGTGAATACGCAGCCATAAAAATGGATGTTTTCAGAGTTCACCGACATGCACTGTTTCACGGACAGACTGACCGACCGATGGAGTTGCTGACTACGTATTGACAACGGAGGGCAGATTGCATCCTGGGCCGCGGGAGCGGTATCCATTGGTCCAGTGTTGTCAACACGTGGCCAGCAACGCCGTCGGTTGCTCTGTCGGTCGGTAAAACGATGCATGTCATTGAGTCTAAAGTTAAAAATCACGTCCGCCGGGAACTGGTCTCTGGAAATAGATCTTCGATAATGGATACTTTGCACAATAAGCCATGATTGCGATAAACAAGTAATGGAAAGGCTGTAAGAATGTGCTGAGAAGCTCCTTTCAGGAGATTTATTATTGATCATAAAAATAAACTGTACACTAGTAGACTCAAGCACCCTAATAGCTTTCGATTTGGTTCAGTTCGTAGCTGAACCAGGGACATATCCTGCGTCGGTACCTGTTGATCCGGACTGTGCACAGGATACCTTAAAAAGGTTTGTATTGTGCTCCATTTATATACTAAATATTGGGTCTGAGTGCTGAATTTCTCTTTGACCGCTCTTCATTTCCTACTTCCTTTAGCGTGAACGTTCGAATCTTTTACCGGGCGTCCCTCCAAAAAGCAATTTCTGCAATCGCGAAAGGGGTAATGAGGTTTCCCCACGCATTTTTTTGGTGTTGCCCAAAGGCACAGTTCACGATAATTTTGGGTAATCCAGATTATGACAAAAAATGGAAGACAAGATCGAAACTAGTGCGACTGAGGTGAAGAAACTGCGTGCGTCGGTGTTTCCAAAGTGAAAAAAGGCTTCGAAAAACCGTTAAAAAGGGGGCTGGACGAGAATTAAACCAAAAAAATGAAGA